GTTAAATGTGTATACATATGTATATACACCATGCTATCCCAAAATGAAATATATATATATTTATACGATTAAACCTAAAAACTTCGGGCTAATAATAGAGATTATTATGACTGAATAATTATTTGACTCCTAGGTATAAAGAAAAATATAAAAGCGAAGGAATTATCGTCCCATATTGACACATCATTGACTGTCAATTCTTTTAAGAATTCATCTCATGTCACTGTGCTATTATTTTGTAATTGGATTGAAATGTAAAACAATATAAGTAATTTTTAATGAACCCCTTTAAACATGAGTTAACTTGTAACCAATCAGCAACAGTTCAGTTACAGAAACATGAGTAAACTTGTGACCAGTTAGCAACAGTTCAGTTACAGAAACATGAGTTAACTTGTGACCAGTCAGTAACAGTTCAGTTACAGAAACATGAGTTAACTTGTGACCAGTCTGTAACAGTTCAGTTACAGAAACATGAGTTAACTTGTGACCAGTCAGCAACAGTTCAGTTACAGAAACATGAGTTAACTTGTGACCAGTCAGCAACAGTTCAGTCACAGGAACACGAGTTAACTCGTGACTGGTCAACAACGTGTTAAGATTGTTCCTTTGCTCTTTATTTCTCTTTAATAATCTCTTTTGTTTTCTTTTTGTTTTGTTGTTTTTGGACGAATTTAAATCGCAATAGGATCCACCGACCAACCATTATGCTTCATTTAATTGATCAAAGAAAGAAATATTAGTTTTATATTAAATGTAAACAACGATATTGGTCGCAGATCCTTGTGCGATCAGGATTATGAACAACAATGGTGTATGACATCGCTGAGGAAGTTAGGATTATTTTTTTTTATGAAATATAGCAAGAGTTTGTTTGCAATATAATTATTTATGGTTAACACTTTGACACACTGCCATGATGAAGATAAATAAACTCTATGGGGTTTATGGCAGTAACAAATGCTGCATTGAAAATGTTTTTTTCAAAAGAATAATAATAAATGGTCATAACATTGCATATGGTATCATTCCTTTTGCAGAATTATATTTAAAACAATATAATATTTTAAATTAATCGTGGTAAAATAATATTCAAGTCGAAGGTACATTAAAAAAAAAAAATTAATAAAAAATGTACTTATATACATAACATTTTAACAATTCGCATTTTAATAACATTAGTTGACATTTGTTTAGTCTTAAAAAATATGTGACATACGTTTATACATATGTATGTATATATACACATATATATTATCATTTTTTATAATAATAATAATAATAAGAAGAAGAATTGAAATTTTATGTCAACAACTATACATTGGTATTACGTGAATAAAATTGATATTAATTGTATGATTATAAAAAAAATAATATTCAGAACTTAAAGAGGACATATATATATATATATATATAGTACTCATTAAGTTGAATAAAAAATGCTTAGTCACAAAATGAATTACAAAATGAAACTAAATACAAATTACAGACCAGTTCGCAATATTAAAAACAACGTATTATTATTAGTGCAGTTTTTACGTTGCATTAAACAATAAGAGAATACTAATTAAATATTTGTAATCTATTATAAGAGCTAAGATTATTACAGGAATGATGTAAGTCATTATTAATAAAAAATTGCACTCAAGTTTATTAAAAAAAAAAATATTTGCGTTTCAATAAAAATTTATTTCTTAACTTACATCATTCTTTTGCAATAACACAACTTAAAGGATTATGCGTTGAACGAATATTCTAATTCGCACATATTTTCCTGGCAGCACCTTTTTAATAAATTTACATTTCCATTAATCAGAAAGAAAAAAAATTGGAAATGAAATATTACAAATAAAAATTAAATAAAAGTATATAATAAATGAGAGAAAAAAAAAGTTATAATTATACGTGTGTATATATATATATATATATATGAGTATTTTTAAAACCACTTAAAAAAAAATGCATCGTGCAAAACAAATATTTTACCTTCACTCTAACTCTCTCTCTCTCTCTCTCTCTCTCTCTCTCTTTTTCTTTCCTTCAGTAAATTAATTACAGAATTATTAAAAAAATATTGTAAATTTATTTTCTCAGTGCTGGAGGTTTCTTTTCGTTACTTTTCTTTTTTTTGTTTTTTATTTTATTTTATTTTATTTTTTTTTACTACTGAATGAAACTAAACATCGAATTGGACATTGGTATTTGTTTCTTTGTTCTTTCTACGAGATTAATAATACAAGATTGAGTAAAAATAAAAGCAATACGGATATATGAGATCAATATTTTGTTTGCTTTACTATTAAAGCAATTAATCTATAATAAGTAAAAGATGATAAAAATTTGTACACATTATTATTGAAAACATTGGAAGAGAAAAACATCATTTTGGTTTTAGAAAGATTCATTTTAAAACAAAAAAGCCCAGCACTCTAATTAATTAAAGATAAGATAGAAACCATCTCTTTTTTCTTGAACAATACAAATAATCATTTAAAAAAAAAAAAAATTGACAATCTTTTTCTATTTGGTTTGTCCAACAAAGTAATCCTAGTTATTTAGCAATGATCCTAGTTATTTCATTGAAATAACTAAGTCCATAAAACAAAAAAATTAATAATAAATTTATAATCCTGGATTATATACTGTTTTTTCTTTTTTTTTTTTATCTTTATACATGTGTTTATCTTTGTTTTTTTTTTTTTTTTTTATACACAACTTCTTCTCTTTAATTACTAAATTTTTTGTATACTAATAATAAATATTACTTTTTTATTTGTTAATTATTATTATTATTATTTGACTTTAGACCAATATGGGAAATTGATTTGGCACAATACGCCACCCATTCAAGTACAAAACTGGATAAAGAGAATTTATCGTTCTATCTACAAGGACCACAAAATTGTTTTCTGGTTTCCTTAACACGCGCGAACTTCCAAACCCGCTTTGCAGTAATTTTAGAATTTAATATTCACACATATATATATATGTATATATGTATATTATCATCTTAGGACAGGAGTCGGCAACCTTTTGAGTCGGAAGAGCCAAAAATTACAATTTACAAAATTTCAAAGATTTAAAGAGCCACCAATATTTTGTCTTGCCAGCAAAATAAATAATACTCGCATAACTCGCATAAATAAATAAAAAAAAAAACTAATCTATTTATTCATCGATTCCTCGTTAATCAATTCAGAACGATTTTTAAATGTTTTTTGTTTGTTTTGATAAACTCTTTTAACTAAAGAGCCGCAGCTTCACATCCAAAGAGCCGTATGTGGCTCACGAGCCACAGGTTGCCGACTCCTGTCTTAGGATAATAACCGGGAAAGAATACAAACAGTAATTTTTGTTTTTTTTTTGTACCGTTTTTATATATGCATTTCCCTTCTTTTTATTTTTCATCCTTTCGCAGATCGTGATACTCTTCCATTCTATTTATAGCTCAAATGAAAATATACAATTTTTTTTTTTTTTTATGTTTGTCATGAATTTTTTTTTTTTTTTATTTCTATCGATATTCATAAAAATTTTGTTTGCTTTTTAACATAAATATAAAGTTGTATTTATATAAGTTACTTTAACCCTTTGCACTCGAGCGGCGCTGATACGGCGCCCTGACTGATTTGAAGTCTTTTGTTTTACTCTATCTGCTTATTTATGATGTGATATACTTAAAGATAATACTTAAATGGTTGAAAAGGGACTGTAAGGTTTACTTTGATCGTAATACGCCTAAAGGTAGGTAAGAAGTAACATATTGTTGTGATACGTGTCCCGATAAACCTAGGATGCATCTTGGGTATCTATGGTAAATTTGATTAGTTGTGTATACGTTTGTTTGTTTATAAATGACTTTAAAGTACATGTAAAAATATTTCTAATTTGATCGAAATCGTCTCGAGTTGTTGGTTAAACGCAAGCGAAAAAAGGGCTCGAGTGCAAAGGGTTAATAATAATAATTACACGTTCAAAGCACTCGTGGCAAATCTCTCGTATGTTTTTTCTCTCAGTGTCGAAAATTATCTACTCATTTCAATTAGTTATTAAGATTTGCATTTATATATATATATAAAAAAAAAACGTTCTCTTTTTTTTATTAACAATAATAATTATTATAATAATAATAGTTGTAATAATAATAATAATAATAATATTAATGATGATGATGATGATGATGATGGTAACGACAATTACGACGACGACGATGATGTTGATGATGAAAATGCTGATGTCAATGATGTTGATGGTAATTAATAGTAAATGTGATATTAAAAATCCTCTATTTTTATCCAGTTTATGTTGGAAGTCATGATATATTTATCTTTATGATGTACTATTGCCGTTAATGTGTTTTGATGAATATAAAAGATACGAAATTGAAATGAATCATGGATAATTTCGTTCGTTTAAGGTATAACGCAGTTAAACCACATTTGTTTGTGATGGTTGGTAACAAAAGCGCTAAATTAATTCTCATTGATTCGATTGGATACGTTTTATCAATCATAAAATAAACACGTTTATCAATTATATTGACGATAAAAGCAAACGAATGTTATTTAACAATATACTATATATATATACAAGATTATACATCGTTGGTTTGGAACTATTAACGAGTTAAACGAGTAATTCCTTCGCGTTATTTCAAACCAAATAACTTTTTAACGCGAATAATTAATTAATACTTGTTTAATTCGCTAAGTAAATAATAATTAATTCGAGAAACAACAATTTAAGAGATGAATATTAATTCCCTAGAAGAAACCTTGTGTTCTTAGTTGGTAAACCGTGTTTCGCATTATTGGGAATATAATTTTATAAACGAATTTTCAAAATGAAGAGATTTTCATTACTTACCGACAATTCTTTTTAGAGAGACGATTAATATACAAAAATGTGATTTCTATTTCTTGATTTTAAAACACGATCTTTTTCTTTCTTTCTTTCTTTCTTCTTCTCGGTCATATTTCTCGTAGCCCAAAGTTTCTTAGTTTTTTTTTTTTTTAACAACGTTTCAATTATTCATCCTTCGACGACAAAATGAATTTTGTACGTGAACAAAATTCATAATGAATTTATAGATCGTGTATATGTGTGTGTTGGGCATTGACATTTGCACTCTGTCATAATTAATAAGATTAATCGATTGTCCTGCCACTAATTACAGGCAAGATCACAGAAACGATTCTAAGGCTCTCTCGTAGTTGCATTGGAAATATTGCATTTTTTTGTCTACTTTCTTCGGTTTATCGCTAAATACATGTTGATTCAGGATGTTGACTCGCCGATTTTCTAGTTTTCTTCGGTTCTTTCGTCGTTAATTCTTGGGATGGTCTGCGAGGACTACCCAATGTGACTAAGGCTGAGGCTACCGCTAAGCCAGCACTTTGTCCAGCTGGTGTAAACGGTTCACCACCGGTAGGCAATCTGACTAGCAAGGATAAAACCGCTGCTCTGTTACCGCAACAGGGCTCTAGGGCGATTGGACTAGGTGCATCCTGAAATTATAACATTTCATTTAAATCATACACATTTTCATTGTTTTATATTTGGGCCGTTTCTTTTGAAAATGGCCTATATATATAACTCCATTTGTCAATTATTAGTTTCCTACCTTTTTCTTTTTTCGACTATTATTATATTCGCTGTCACATCTATTGTCAACATCGTTGTCAACGACATCTCGCCTCTCGATTTCTACGAGTACTTGACTGAACGCCCTGTTTGCCATTTGTTGCATCTCTACAAATAATCTTTGTCTTCTTCTATACATGTCATATTTTTGTTTGATCTTCCATAAAATCGCTGCTACCAAAAGTAGAGCAAGGAAACACCTGTGTGGTGGCATATAATCTCTAGTTTACAAGTAAGTACTGCCTGAGACTTAATATAGTAAAAAGTATATTGTCAATTTGGAGAAAATAAATGAACAAAAAAAATGTCCAATTTTACTTTTAATATCATTAATAAATAACGTGTGTGTGTGTGTATTCTCATTTTATTTTGATTAAGTGTTTAAGATAAATGTCTAGATACTCACGTGCAAAATGTTATGAAGAATTGTTGTAGATTTAATTTAGAATATTGTGAAAATGAAATTTGAATCCACAATGGTGGTTGAAAGTCATAAACGTATACATAAAACGTCGTTAAAGTATTGTTTTCTTCGCTGCCAAAATTATAATCCGCTTTACTAAAACGATGTTTATACATGTTTGTTGTACAATTGGCACCCAAAAGAAGTGGCTTCTCTAAACTGTTTGGTCTTTTAATAGTAACATTCATTTTAGCAAGAACTGAACATGTTATAGAAAATTCGGCATCAATGTCAGCTTTGGGTGGTGAATTTTTAAAATTAATTGCTCTGTAATGACGATCTTCTTTTTTACTTAAATTAAATGTAAATTGATAATCGATAACCAAATCGTCTGTAAAAGAAATATTAAAATCAATTTAAAAACATTGACATCATAGAAATGAGAGAAGAAAAAAATGACAATATTTTACTTACAAAAACAGGATCCTTTATTCGCAGGATCGCCATAATAAAGACCTGTTACGTCACATCGTTCACAATGATCACCAACGATGCCTTTAGTCGTGCAAAAACATTTACCAGTCTCGCTAGAACACTGTGTTCCTTGATTATTGCATGAACATGCTAAAATATAGAAAACATACATTTCGAATTAGATTTAATTGGCTACTGATAAAAGTTTATGGGTTAAGAATTGTTCATGTATCTTACGTTGACACGTTGCTCCGTTCAAAGGACTTCCATAATAGCCAGGAATACATTTATCACAATTCTGTCCGGAAGTTAAATTTCCACACGGTTGAATACAAACACTGCTATTTGGAAGACACTTACTATGACCATTGCATTGACAAGCTAAAATAAATAAACAAAATAAAACAAACAATTGTTCTAGCAATAATCAAGGAATACAAAAAAATACTCACTGGGACAAGTGGTAAAGTACCAATGATCAAGCGAACACGTTTCTAAACTCCTGCTGCTTGGACCACGGGCACCACCAGGTAAACAATGTCCTTTTCCTGTACCAGAACCATCGTCACACCATCCACAACCAGGATCCGATCTACACGTCGAACATGACAAATAAAAGCTACACCATTCTCTTCCATTTCCAGTAGCACGACACCTTGCCTCGAGCGTTGTCCATGCACGACATTGACCATATGGAAAACTAGCAGGATATGCATTTTTATCGACACACTTAGCTTCGTTCTGACACCAAATACAATCTGATTCTGTACAATTCCTACAGGAAGTATATTCCGAGCATGGACTTCGACAAGTTTCCATTGTTAAACGTTGAGCTTGAATGGTACCATTTAAACTTGTGATCTAACAAAAGAGATGTATAATCAATTACAAATTGTTTAATTGAATTAAAAAAAAAAGGTCTCGATTTTCTAAAAGAACATATTTCTCACCTCGCGTGTCTTTGATTGTGGTTTGCAACGATCCGGACCATTTGACCAAGACCAAATGCAACGGGGATCACTCGAACAAGCGTGACACGTATGCAATTGATAACATTCGATCCCAGTATGAGCATCGCACTTTTCCAAATCCTTGATAACTTCGGTTGCCGGTGAATTTGCGATATCCCGACATATTTCGTACGAACAACTTTTACCACACCAAACACAATTGTATGAAGTTTGTACGCAAGCAACGCAGTCGGTTAAAAGCTTGCACAATTCCTTATGCGAAGTTAATCCTCTAGGTGGGGTGTCGTCCAAACACTTCGTGTATCTTCCATCATGCATATCGTCTTCGAGTAACTCATGCCGCAATATTTTAGTTATTGCAATACACCGTTTTATTTCTTTGTCCCACACACACTTTACACCTGTCCTCGCGTTCAAACACTCATTTTGTTTCATGTTTTCACAATGTCCCGGTGTATACCTGATACAACAAAATATAATTATTAATAATAATCATTGTACGAGTTCTTCGTTCTTTTATCAAACAATAAGATGTAGGATGAGAAGTTAAATACCTCAACATGTCGGATAACATTTGACCATCGAATCCTCCATAAATATACATAGAATCTTCGAAAACGGTTGCACTATGTCCATATCTTGGCAAATCGGTCATTTCCCTAGGTACAAAATAATGTTGCCAAGTGTCACACATGACATCGTATGCGATGGTATCTGCGGAATAACACCTAGCCCCGTGCGAGTGTTGAGTATCGTTATGCATGTTCCCACCAAATACTAGCATTAAACCGCCAGAAATAAAGATACCAGTGTGAAAGAATCTTGCTGATGGTGCGGCCGTTAACAATCTCCACTCCCGGTATTTTGGATGATAAGAGTAGAGTCTATTCGTCAAAATTTGAGTGCTTTGTGACTCGGACACGTATCCACCATAGACATATATTAAATGTGTCAAAGGATCGTAAGCTGAACTATGACCGTATCCCCCACTAACGGGGAAACCTATTGTCTCAACAATTTGCCATTCACGAGTTCCCAAGTAATATTCCTGGACGGTATTCAAGTAACCATACTGAGGTGAATATCCAAAGATCACAACCATTTTCTCTTTTTCCCCATAAGTTTGAACGAGTGTCGCTGTATGCCCGGCTGCCTGTACAAAATTAATATGAAATATTTTCTCAACGTAAAAGTCATTGTTGAATCATTCAATTTACCTTCAATGGTCCGCACATTGTTTTATTTCGACAATTATCGTGCACGGTAACGTTTTCCCAAACCTTAGCCGACACGTCAAATGCCCAGATCTCATTGGTTACGGTAGAGTTTTGTACAACACCACCATACATAAATATCTTATCTCCGAATAGTACGCATGAATGTGCATATCTAGGTGCAGGTAGTTTACCCTCAACATGAGGAGTCTCCCAAACGTTACCATTGTAATCGTAAACATAAATCATCTTGGCACGATGAAAACTTTCACCACCAACCACGTAAAGCGAATCTTTCCAAACGATAGAACAATGACTGGCTGAACCTTCCGGTGAAAAGTCCTTGTAAGTAATACTCTCCCAAAATCCATGTTCTCTCTTTTGATTGCAGTCCACACCTGAAAGAAACGTTCATGTATAAAATCATCAAATTTTCTAATGATAAGATACAAATATAACAAATTGATAGTTTACCCTTATAAGCATGATTACATTCACAACGACGTTTTAATCTACTGCATTCACCATGTCCACGATGGTGCAAACAATTATTTGGACAAATCGGTACATCGCATGCTTTTCCAGTCCATAAGGCATCGCATGCGCATGTACCCTCTACACAGACACCATGATCAGAACAATCGGTGTAGGAATACCTGTCATTTAACAAACAAAAAAACAAACCAATTGTGAAACACCTAACAACACGTATGACGACACTATAAGTAAACCTAACAATAAAGCTATTGATTGATTATGCAGCATATAAACAAAATCTTTGTTTCTTATTAAATTAATAATTTACAATGTTGACAATAATATTACAGTATAATTAAAGCAACTAAATTCAGTTAACTGTATCAAACTTCTGCACAAATTGTTAGGTTTACTGATTTAATGTTCAGTGTATTATGTTGATGGGGATTCCCCTATAGAACCGTGTAGAGTTTAAAAGAAAAAAAAAAAAAGAAATTGGTATCCAATCAACTTAGTTTTTTTTTTCTCGTTGTACAGTTTAGGTCTTCCTTACCTAGTCGGGCAGGCATTAATCTTGTAAGTGATGTTAAATCCGCTCATGTTATAGGCAACGTCCGAATAAAAGTGTAACAAGGCGCTCCCGGAACGTGCTATTACTTCGGGTACACGGCGTATATGATAACCGTCTTTGTGCATAAGACCACTGAATATTGCAAGTAAAGGTGCCTCGACACTGTCACCGTCGTAAATGTACAGGTGGTCCCAACCACATTCCGTTGCAAACAGTTCTACGTGCATACGTATCGTGGAATTTGGGGTGCTCTCGATCAACCAAGAACATCTCACGTCTGCCGTGTAATTCCCTATACCATCGTGAATGCTTCCACTTGGTTCCGTTAATCTATAGTCAAACAAAAAAAGTATTTTTTTTTTAATTTATTTTTAAATAATTATAACATCTTAAAGCTTTTAAAGGTATAATATTGGGTTGACAATTGAATAATTGCAGATTTTTTAACGACAATGATTCGATGAAATCTGCAATTTATCCCATTATAATATAATATACCAACCCAATATAATATAATATAKCATATAAAGGTATAATATATAATATAATATAAAACTAATCTAAAAGAACAATTTTGATTATTCCCATAAAATTCATTGATATTTTTCGACATAGTAAATCCTTGAAACTTTTCAACCTTCTTTTCAATTTTATTATCTACAAGATTTCCTATATTTGTGATATAACATGATAAATATTTAAAAAGAAGTATAATCATTGACGATAATCGTTTATTTGCGAATCTTCGAGAATAAAAGAAATAAATAAAATAACGAGAAAGAGAAACTTTAAATCAAATGGTATCTCTGATTACATCGATAAACATGGTTTTTAAATTAGAATTATTGCGGAAGAAAAAGATATAGAAAAAGGTTGAGGAAATAATGCGATTATTATAGCAACATTTGTCCTTGATGTACATGAGTAAGACAATTATTTCTTTGCTAAATGAGAATAATAAATTTATATTATACACCTGTACTTTTTATTATTCTTCTTCTTCTTCTTCTTCTTCTTTTATAACATACAAGAAAATATGTAAGATCATTTAATTAAAAACAACGTGAATACATTCTCAAGATAGTTGAATAAACACTCATCATCATCATCATCATCATTATCATCATTATTATTATCATTGTTCCACGTAAAAAGATTATTTTCAAAAGATTGATGATAAATTTGGAAATTTGGTGAATTTGATAAATATAGTACATATTCATTCGTAACCTAAGTTCGAATGAATGTAGACGGTGAATGAGTCATAACGGGCTAACCAGAAGTTCAACGACCTTACTCGGTTTCATTTCATGTTATATAGAAGTATAGAAGTATAAACGAACCGATGCGCGGGAAATAGTATTTTTAAAAGGGTCACGAAATCGCTAAATTAGGATAAAGAAAAGAAAAGAACGACGTTAGGTGAAAAACAATTCCTTATTTTAATTAGTTTGCAATTTGATTGTAAAATCATAAAAGAACAAAGTAGCAGAATAAGATGAAGAACAAGACGAAATAAAATAAAATAAAATAAAATAAAATAGAAATAAAAAAGAAGAAGAAGAAGATAATCCTAGTTAATAATTGTTACGTTGACGAGCCTACAACCTATTCCTAGAGTCACGATCCTTAGAAAGTGTGTCGTTGGAAAGGAGAGCAAAAGCAGGACAATGTAAGGTATAAAACACCCAATGATGTCCTCCTCCTTCTCCTCCTCCTCTTTCTCCTCCTCGTCGTCGTGTCAATGAGAATAACACTTTTAAAGCTTCGTTTATACGTTTTATACGTATATAAAGAAAATCCAGGTTATTCCAATGTTCGTGATACTAATACGAACCTATTATTTCATTAACTTACGTGAAATCAAAGTTTTATGTAATGTGACGTACGTACAAATCACCCGTTATATCGTTTTAACATTGATCGTTGTTCTATTTGATAAAATAAAACAAACAAACAAAAAGAATAAACTAAAAAAAGGCAAAGAAAATAGAAAACTAAATAAGGTACTTACGTATTAACGTCACCACAGCAAAATTCCGCTAATGCGCCAATCTACACCTTTTAAATTATTGCGACAAATCATAGAATAAAAAACTTGATTTAAAATCGAAACAGTTTTAAAATTCAAAACATTTTATTTATAAAAAGTAGTCAATCGGATTTCGGTGAAAAATGGGCCCATATAGAATAGATTCCAAATGATGTCTCGCATCTTGTTCTGTTTTTGGCAAATCCCAAATACGCATTTTCGTAGCACTAAAAAATGAAGAAACCCTGACGAAACCCTGACGGTTGCTGTGTGCAAACAACAAGATTGTTGTATGCGCACAACAAGATTGCTCTTTATTGGCGCATTAGCGGAATTTTTGCTGCGGTGGTATTAATACGTAAGTACCATTAATAATAATGAAGAGGAATCAGTATTGTTTGAAAATTTTATACAAAAAAAAAAATACAAGGTTAGTTTAAGAAAGTTGTTCAATAAATAAATTAGAAAACAAATCAAGATAAGTATTTTTTATTTTTCTAAAATCTATATACTCAATTTTTCTAAAACGTTTTCTTGTTCAATATTTTTCCTAACCACCATGTATAATAGATAACATTGTGAATCTCTCTTTCTTAAATATTTTAAGAGAGAACACTATATATATATATATATATATGTGTGTGTATACGATCGATTCCGAATATTCCGTACTACTAGTTGATGAAATAGAATCAAATATAAAAAAGAAACTTGTATGTGTTCATTACATAACAACCCGAATTAATGAATTATTTACATACTTGTTACAAGAGATAATACGTATATACATAAATTACAAATAATTTGTTCTGGTATTCACGTATTAACGCCATCGCAGCAAAAATTCTGCTAATAAGCCAATAAAGAGCAATCTTGTTGTTCGCACACAACAACCTTGTTGTTTGACACACAGCAACCGTCAGGGTTGCGTCAAGGTTTCGTCAAGGTTTCGTCAGGGTTTCGTCCGGGTTAGGGCGACAGCATCAGGTGTAAGAAAATAGATACTATTTTGAATCTATGTTAAATTCTATATCGGCCAATTTTCCATCGAAATCCGGTTGACTAATTTTTATAAATAAAATGTTTTGAATTTTGAAAGTGTTTTTTGATTTTAAATTAAGTTTTATATTCTATGATTTATCGCAACAATTTAAGGTGTTGATTGGTGCATTAGCAAAATTTTGCTATGGTGGCGTTAATACATAAGTACCATATTATTTATAATATATAATATAATTATTAAATATTTTTTATTTGATCATGTTCTTGAACAGATCATTTAATCATTTGTTTTTTTTTATAATTATTTCTAATTGTTTATTAACTCTATGAGAGAGAGAGAGAGAGAGAGAGAGTATGTGTGTTCTTTTCTTTTTCATTTTTTTTTTATTCTGGGCAGCAAACTGTCGCTGTGAACCCAGGTTTTCTCAAGGTTTTTCTCTTCTACCAGGTGCCTTCTCTACTTTCGAATCTTCTTACAACATCGAAATTAAAAATAGAAAATTAAATTGTGAAACAAAATGGTGTAATAATTCGCTATGTGAACATACTTTTGAAAATTACTTCATTTCTTACACAATATTATTATCAATTATCATCTTAAATATATATACACATATAAAAATTTAAATATAAACAATTAATAAAATGAAAAAATAAAAAATTAAAAAAAAAAAAAGGCAAAATAAAAATGAAAGATTCATTTTCTCGAAGATTGTAAAAAACAGATATTTAACATTTTGAAGGAAATTTTTTGATTTTCTCATGAAAATGATATGCATAAAATGTTATATACACGTATGTATATATTTACACACATACATACACACATATATATATATATATGCAAGGAGTAAGTAAAGTTGAGAATTTTCAATTACGTTCGGTGCCGATCAATCACCGTCAACTAAAATGTCACAAAGTCAAAATTCTAAGCTTGGATTAACTTTTGAAAGATGTCTAGAGAAAATCTAGTAATATTATAGTTCTTTCTTTTAACATGTATATATATATATTGAAAATAGATATTACCATCAACCAACCAATGTTGTAAAAGAAGAAGCTTCAATGAAATTCATTTATCAAATTTAAAAGTCTTATTTGAGTATTGCAAAAGTGCATCATCATCATCATCGTCATCACCTATTGGTGGTGAATCGTTCAAGTTTACACTTGAATTTCTTTAAAAAAATATATAAAAAATATTTAAATAATATATATAAAATATTTAAAATATATAATTTTTTTAATAATAATAATTTTTACTAATAAATTTAATTTAAATTTAATAGAATATTTTTTAATAATAATTTTTATTTAATTTATTTTAATTAATTATTGAATATTAATTTTTACTAATAAATTTAATGTAAATTTAATAGAATATTTTTAAATATTAATTTTTGAAATATATATGCATATTTTATTTTAAAAATATATATGAATGTAGTTTGAAAACCGGTTTTTTTTTTTTGTTAAGTATTCATATTGATTACAATGGTATATAATACAGTTAGGTAATATACATATTTAAATAATCTGACCAATTTAATAATAACATTAAACGTTTGGAATATTTGAACTTATTCGAAAATTCTAAGAATTTCGTTAAATACTTTAATTCACATTACATTTTATTGATAAAAAAAAAAAAAAAAACACGATGAAAATTAGTCTGTTAAAAAGGTCATGACTTAATAGAAAATTGGATTTTAAATGTGTCTAGCAGACGATGTTGATCCTTGACAGCGAACGAAACCGTACACCACCACTACTATTACACCTCTCTTCTACTTGTCAACTTTTAAAACCGTAACCCACCAATCGATCGATCGATGGGTCAAATCTTCTTATCTAATCTCTTTGTATAAATAGGTTTTTTATATTATGTATCTTATAAAGCTTTTATATTTCTCTTGATCATTTATTTACACGGGACATTAAAAAGATAAAAAGATAAAAAAAAAAATAAAAAGCAAAATACTAATTAATTACATTGATACGAGTTGTAAATTATCTCTTTAGGAATGTTTTTTTTTTTTTTTTTAATTATTATTATTATTATTATTAAGATAAATATCGTATATCTTTTTCATTCAAAACCTGTTTAAATGTTGATTGTTCGATACAAAGTTTTCTGCAAAATTGATTCTAACCTAAATCAAAAAAATCAAACGATGAATTTTTCAGAAAAAAAATAGACAAACGTTTTACACACACACACACACACACACACACACTGTCATTCGCAAAGTCCTCTGTTATATCCATCAACGTTTTATTTCTTTTTTTTTTATATTTTCTTGTATTTCTAAACTCAAACAAATAAAAATACTGTCGTTTCTTTTCTATCATAGAAAACGTGTGTGTGTGTATTTGTGTAGGTGTGTATGAGGTTGACAATTTACTGGTTTTTTCTTTTGATACGATAAATAATCTTTTGTTCGTGTTTTTTTAACTTAATTGAACAACATTTTGATTTTTTTCACATGTTGAGAATGTGAACGTGATGATGATTTTAGGAGATGAATGACTCACGTATTATCTGCATACAAAATTAATAGTAATAAAAGGATTTAGAGATATTAGGTATTAAAACTAAAAAAAAAAAAACTAGTAAAGAACTAGTTATTTTGTAGCATTTCGAAAAAGAAGAAATAAGAATTCATCTATTCTATTTTTTTTTTTATCAATTTGTGATAATAATTTCCTGAATTCATATTTTATTTCTGTGGTTATCAACTGCATAGATAATTTCTTAGCACAAAGGGGCATTTTTTTTATAACTTAAGCTAACATTTTAATTAATTATATATGTAGAAGTATATTAATATAAATAGAAACATAAATAAAAGTACTAATATCGATCGAAAAGGTTAGATTCGAAGAGGGTATCAAATGTAATCGATAATTTGCAAAGCTTTTTCTACAAAACTAATGAAAACTATCTTATCAGTAAACTAAGCTCCTAATATATTCAAAACACCCGGTATATATATATATATATATATATATATATATATATATATATATGTTGTATATAAGTATAAGAGAAATCGATCGATATATGTAGAAAGGAAATTACAAAACAAGAAAAAAGAAGCGATTAAAACAAGTTTTTGTTTTAATTTCCCGCCCATTTCACGTAGTAGTTAATACTTTATTCAAAAAAAAAACTGTTTACTGTAAAATAATTATTAGAGAGGAAGAATAAAAATGGATAGGGAGAAAATAATTAAAGAAATTAATTTGTAAACAAAATAAAAATAAATGTGAATCGAAAAGAAAAAAGGAGAATACAAATAAGAATCAAAAAAATGACTAAAATAACGGAGAAAAAAATCGACCAAAGTTTTTCCGATGTTTTCAGTGTATATTTGGAGCGATGTCACTGTCATTAACGATACAACGAGCATATTTCCCAGCGATGAGGATGTCAAACCAAGTATAGTCAATCCAGAGACAATGACCTACGATCTTTTCTACCCCCTCTCTTTCTCTCTTTACCCCATTAATTTCCTTCCACTCGAAAAACATAGAGAGAGAGAGAGAGAGAGAGAGAGAGAGAGAGAGAGAAAGAAAGAGAGACTGTAACTGTACGAGAGATAAATATACGCATGATGATGATGATGAGGTGGTGATGGAGGAGGAGGAGGAGGAGGAGGAGGAG